ATCTTGCTCCTCTAGCTCTTTCAGTTTTGATGATAGGGTGTCAATTTTTGATCTCTCCTTGCTTCTCATGTGGGCACTTATTGCTATATATTTTCCTCTAGTGACTGCTTTAAATGTGTCCCAGAGATTCTGGTATGTTGTGTCTTCATTCTCATTGGTTTCGAAGAACATCTTTATTTCTGCCTTCATTTCATTGTTTATCCAGTCAATATTCAAGAGCAAGTTGTTCAGTTTCCATTGGGATTCTTTTTATTGGACTGAGCAGGGTGAAGAACATTTAAGCTGGTGGAAGTGAAAGTTGGCTGTACATTGGCAGCCAGGTCTCAGGGTTAGCTTTTGAATGCGGTTAACTAGTTTCTCTTAACTGTGGAATTCATTGAGAAGTCAGACTCAGTGTGGTTGTTCCACACTGATATCTTGAAAAGGCCAGGTAACAGTAGTTTTCAGCTGAGTGGATTTGCAATACTATAAGCTACCTGTATATAAGATGTTAAGGACCTATTTTATATTTACTTCAGCTTGAAGAGATGGAGGTAGAAGCTTTCTTTTGACTTATTTGACCTTCATGTTGAATCATTAATGGTTATAGATTTTATGAAAACAGAAAATCTCCCAAAAGCTTTCTTTCAAATCACATCAAGTTAATATATGAAGGGGTGGGTGTTTACATTATCACAGCAGGCTTTAGAAGGAAACTGAAACATTCTCTTAAAGCGAAAGCTTAGGAGGAAAACTCCTTTCCCAGTAGGAAAGTGTGGGCCTCTAGAAAGCCTCCAGGGACCTAATCAGTTAGTTCTCTTCCATCTGTTATCTTGACTTTGGAGAGGTACACTTGGTCCTATCAGTCTTTATGGAGATACTATATTCATAACTACTTTCTTACCCATATAGAGGACTTTCCCTTAAGAACTAGGGGGTTTCATTTTTTTTTAATGGGTACAGATAAGAAAGGATAAAACTTGAAAATTATTTTCTAAAATCATTGCCTTATCTCAGAAGAATAAAATATAAGCTTGATTCTTTTAGTTCTTTTTCTTAAGTTTCTCATTTGTATTTGTCTAACATGTATATTTTTCTTATTGCTCATAAAAAGATTAAAAACTATTTTTCCAGATTTCCTCATTTAATCTCACCTCTATCTCATAAGGAGTACATATGGTGAGTTAATTGATCACTTCATAAACCTTGCAGAGTTCCAGTTCTCTTAGTGTGTGTACTACTGGGAAACCCCATGTTCTGGAACTTCTGTGTCTTCCACAGTCTGTTTTGATCATGTGTACATATATACACGTGTATACATGTCCTTTTTTTAGCATTGTATTGAAAGCCTATGGAGAAGTTGCATGATGTGTGTGATGGGAAAGTAAATTTCCTTTCTTCTACCTCTGACACTTTCTAGCAGCCTTTCTATTCGTATAGTATAGTTTAATACAGCCGTAAACTTGGGTCTGTAACTCCTGACAGCTGTTTTTGTGAGTTGGTGTCCAGGCAGATGATAGACTCTCCCTGGAGTGGGAGGACATGCAGAGCCTCCTTTAGGTGATTTAGAAGATGCAAGAACGTTTTCATCCAGAGGACTGAGGTGGCATGAATGTGAAGGTTGACCTAAAGAATTACCTGGATCATCACATGACCTGTAGCAGTTTGTGGTGCCCAGAGGATTTATTAAGTAGGAATCTTGTATAGTCTTTCAGATTTGCCTAATCATGGGAGTCTCCTGAGATTAATCTCAGGCACCTGGGAAACTTTTTCAAAAGCACCCCAGGTGATTTCCTGGGTGTTAGCAGAAGCTACTGGGCCCTAACTCTGTTGTCTCTTGGGAAGTCATCAGGTCACCTGGTTATGCCCATACTAGCCCTTGCAAATAAAGAGGCATAAAATTTGAGGAAGTCACTAGTTGATCAGAACAGATTGTGGATGACACAGAGGTTCCAGGAGATGGGGAGTAGTCAGTGCTTAGAGTGGTAAGGACACCCATTCTCCTGGCTTCAAGTGACTGAGACTAGAATTTTGTGTAGCCTTCTGATAGATGGCATAAAACAAGTCCCAAGTTCTGTGACTTCTTGGCTTTCTGGGAAAAGCCTGGTTAACTATTACTGGTTAACTATTGTCCCAGTTAACTATTACTATATACTGTTAGAGTTGAGAGTGGGTCTTCCATTTTTCCCTGATGCACATTTTTTTTTGTTATTTTCTCCATAGAGGGCTACAGCGTACTTTTAATCCTAAGAGTGCATTTGATTACAAGAAGTTTATTTGTTTCTCTTACATGGAAGTACTTGGCCAACTCCTCTTTGTATGTGGGAGGTCTCCCAGCAACTGTGAACAATTTTTAAAGGCTGCTAAGAGGTCAAGAAGTACTTTGCTGAGTCTTGTTCTGTCTCTTTAAAAACAGACTTCTTTGTCTTGCTTGGCCTTAAAAATTACGTTTCTTCCTTGGCTCTGTCTTAGGCCTTCTCCCGCTGCTTTGGAGGGATCACCCACTCTCCTTATCTTATCCTACAGCTCTCTCCCTGATACACACAGGGCAGTTCTCCATAAGCATTCTACCCTGTGCCATGTGCAAGTGCTGTGTGTTTGAAAGGGAATCCCATCATCCTTATTTTTCTGTGTCCCCAATGCCTGTTAGAATCCTGAGCTCTCAGATGTAATCTCATTGTCACTTGTAACTTTTTTCTTAAACCACTGTCAGTAAACAGTAACTATTTCCTTCATCAATAAACATCAATAAACGGTAACTTTGTTCATCACTTAGATCTTAAGTGATCACCAAATCTTGTCACTTACTTGTTGGACTTTTCTCTACCTCTTCTTTCTTGATTCCTAAACAAACCACCTTCTATTTTCTCACCTCCAATTCATACTGAAATCTATCTTCCTTTGCCTGCCAGACTCATCTTGCTCATTTTTTTCTCTGTAACATGGGAATAACTGTACCTGTGTCACAGGGCCGTTGTGAGAATCAGACATACGTAAAGTGTTTATTGTACTGCCTGGCACACAATAAGTACTCAGCAAATGGTAGCATACTCTACTTCTTACCTCCTGCTAAATTGGATAATTTTTAACTCCAGCTGTGTCCATTCCTGTATATAGTCAAAAATGTGGGATGTGGAACCCTTGGTTTGAGCCTTGGTTGGAACCTGTAGATTCCTGCTTAACAGTTATTCTCTTTTGGGAGAATAGTTCAGTTTAGTTACTGACCTATAAGGTTGTTAGTAGTGCAGAATGAGATAAAGTAGGTAGAGAGAATGCTTCCTTCACGGACAGTCACTATGCAGATGCTGCTTGTTTTTGTTTTTAATACCTGTAGTCTAACCTATTTGATGTAAGAGGTTTGAAACAAGTATGATGAATTTTTACTTTTTTTTTTTTTGGCAGGTTGGACCCATCCACAGTAATGGCTACGGCCTTACCCAGGACCCTGGGCGAGTTGCAGCTGTATAGAATATTACAAAAAGCCAACCTACTTTCTTATTTTGATGCCTTTATCCAACAAGGTGGTGATGATGTCCAGCAGCTCTGTGAAGCAGGAGAAGAGGAATTTTTGGAAATCATGGCACTCGTGGGCATGGCTAGCAAGCCCCTTCATGTTAGAAGGCTGCAGAAGGCTTTGAGAGACTGGGTCACAAACCCTGGGCTTTTCAATCAGCCGCTGACTTCCCTTCCTGTCAGTAGCATACCCATCTATAAATTACCAGAGGGATCGCCGACATGGCTGGGAATATCCTGCAGTAGTTATGAAAGGAGTAGCAATGCCCGGGAACCTCATTTAAAAATCCCCAAATGTGCTGCCACCACCTGTGTGCAGAGCTTGGGACAGGGGAAGTCAGATGTGGTCGGGAGCCTAGCGCTGCAGAGTGTTGGTGATTCCAGACTCTGGCAAGGCCACCATGCCACTGAGAGCGAGCACAGCCTCTCCCCAGCAGACCTGGGCTCCCCTGCGTCCCCAAAGGAGAGCAGCGAGGCACTGGATGCTGCTGCTGCACTCTCTGTGGCCGAGTGTGTGGAGCGGATGGCCCCTACACTGCCGAAAAGTGACTTGAACGAAGTAAAGGAGCTGCTAAAAACCAACAAGAAGTTGGCCAAAATGATTGGTCACATCTTTGAGATGAACGATGATGATCCACACAAAGAGGAGGAAATTCGGAAATACAGTGCAATATATGGCAGATTTGACTCAAAGAGGAAGGATGGCAAACATCTCACACTTCATGAGGTACAAAGCCCACGTTATTCTTTGTGTGTATGCAGCATGTTGCTAGTCATTAGAGATAAGTTTGGTAATAGTTTGCAGCAAATGTGCTACACTCCTTGAAAGCAGTATTAAAAACATCAAGGTGTTAGCAACATGTAGCTCTTTTGTGAAAATAGACCATATTTTTTGTGTTGGGGTATATGTATGTATGTATGTATGTATGTCTGTGTGTGTGTGTCTGTGTGTCTGTGTGTGTGTATTTTTTTTTTCTGAGATGGAGTCTCACACTGTCACCCAGGCTGTGTGTGTGTGTATGTGTGTCTGTGTGTGTATGTATTTTTTTCTTCTAAGACGGAGTCTCACACTGTCACCCAGCCTGTAGTGCAGTGGTGCGATCTTGGCTCACTGCAATCTCTGCCTTCTGGGTTCAAGCAATTCTCCTGCTTCAGCCTCCTGAGTAGCTGGGAGTATAGGCATGCGCTACCACACCCAGCTAATTTTTTTGTATTTTTAGTAGAGACGGGTTTCACCGTGTTGGCCAGAATGGTCTCGATCTCCTGACCTTGTGATCCACCTGTCTCAGTCTCCCAAAGTGCTGGGATTACAGGCATGAGCCACCACGCGCAGCTGTGTTGGGATATATTTTTATTGAACTTGAACATGTTTGAGCTTTGGAACTACGGTATGTGGTGACTTTTAGAAAAATGTCAAAATTTAAGCAGTGAAAGCATAATGTCTTTGCATTTGTAAAGCAGTTTCTTTTTTAATTGATAAATAAAACTAGGTTTTAAATATAACTTTTCATTTAAAAACATTTTTATAGTAATTATAGCTTTGAACATTGTTTTGGTTTGATGTTTGGCATTAACCATTTTTATTTTATCTTTATAGCACTCTAGACATAGTCTGCTGAAGTTTGTATATGTGTGTGTGTATAGATATAAAATTTTGTATGTATAACATATTATACTTTATGTGTGTATATCAACTTTGACGTTTATTTCTTGTCTTTTCATCTAGCTGGTCAACATATCATCTTTAAAATTCAGCCCAGAATAAGCTTAAGTGTTTTCTGTTATCTTTTCCTTCAAGTAGAATGACCTTTCCTTTTCATTTTTATCCCTACATATACTTCTGTCACAGTAATTTCAATTCCTTATTGTACTTATTTTTGTATACTGGTCTGTGCTTCACAGTATAGTCTAGGTTTCTTCAAGGCAGAGATAATGTTTCATTCATCTTTATATCCCTAGAGTCTAGTGAGTCAGTAAGTGCTTGGAAAGTAAATGCATTTTCAAGAGTTAAAAAGACTGTTTCAAAGCTTTTTTTTTTTTTTTTTTTTTTTTTGAGATGAGGGGGATCTCACTTTATCACCCAGGCTGGAGTGCAGTGGGTGCAGCCTCGACCTCCTGGGCTTAAGCAGTCCTCCCCACTCAGCCTCTCCAGTGGCTTGGACAACAGGTGTGTGCCACCACACCCAGTTAATTTATTTTTTTTAAGTTTTTTATAGAGATGGGAGTCTCTCCATGTTGCCCAGGCTGGTCTCAAACTCCTGGGCTCAAGTGATATGTCTGCCTTGGCCTCCCAAAATGCTGAAATTATACAGGTATGAGCCATTGTACCCAGCCAGATCTTTTTAAATAAATGATTTTAGACATGATTGTTGAAGCTTGAGATCAGATAAATGGTTGGCAGAATGACTTAAGTCATGGCCAGTCTGTAACTTGATCTATTTTGGGAGTATCCTTTGAACCAGTGGAGGGATCCACTTAAAAGGCTATATGGCGGTCATTAGTAGAAAAACAAAAGGCAAAATGTGTTGGCAATTTTAGCTTCATACTTTAATCTAGTTTTCTTATAATTTTTAAAACATAGCAGATGAAACACAAAGTTGAGCCAAAATACCTATATTTTTATCAAAGTAAAATTATTTCTAAAAGATTAATAAACCTAGTTAACGTGACTTTAAAAAAAATCATATCCTACTTTAAAAAAAAATCCAATAAGAATTATTTTACACTTAGCTTTTGCTAAGGAGCTCTTTGCCTCTTTAGATAAGTAGGTACAGATGGTATTTAAGTAATGAGACTGTGGGTTTCCCAAAATAAGGAAATACTCAAAATGAACGCCAGTAGGCTGAAATGTGGGGGTGGGGGCTTTGGAAGTTGTGGCTTGTGTTTTAGAAGCTTCACTTAGGCCTGCTTGTTACTTGTAATTCCAGTATGTGAATCTGGTTTAATAATATAGTTTAGGATAAATGTTTGTGAATCAGGAAGCTTTCTTAAAACTAGTAACTACCTAAGATCTTGGAAGAAATTACAAAATCCTGAGCGAATTGAAAGAAAGTACCATTAGGTATACCTTTTAGGTATTATGAGAATTTTGCAGTTTTTTTCTCCTGATTATTTAAAATCAGGATTTTTTTTAGTTCTTCTAAGTTCCTGAGATTAAAGAATGTTGCTAGTTTCTACTCAATTTCCACATAAGGAATATATAACTTTTTCTTAATTCATTGTTGGCTTAATCTCACTATTCTGAGGGTTTTCTTCATATAAATTGTGCGAATACTGTTCTTTTAGTCTTTCAGGACATAGAGCTGTATGTAGGTCACTAGTGGATGAAGTTCAAGCTCTCTATACCTGTTTTTTCAAGTGTTCAAGTACATAAAATTCTTTTTCTTGTAAGAAGAAAATATTTGTTTATGTATTTATAATAACATATTTGTTTCCAAGTGTAGACTGTGAAGAACTATGGAACGACTTATTGTTAAGCCCCTCTTTTTTTTATGCTAAAGAATCAGTGATAGTCCTACAACCTGGCTAACTATGGTCTGTTTTACAGGCATCAGATTGTGGAGAGAGTGAGGGCTGAGGCTTAGAACCACACACATTGCTGGTGTCAGGCACGTGCTAAGGGACAAACCCAGAGCAATATCAGAAAAAAGCCAGCAGGCAGGCAGTGTTGCATCTATTATAAGGGGCATTAACAGGCAGTAGATGGTAAACTAGGCAAGCAGTGTGCCCCCAATCTTAAATCAGTGAATGGATGAGGAGAGAGCAACTAAAATTTGGGAACAGCAAGGCAGTAGAGTATTACAAGTAGAGTGTTACAAGTTTCTACTTGTAATACTCATAAATGTAAATAGGTAGACAATTTGGCATTACAGAATATTTGTCAGCAGATAGCAGCTTCCAGCCAAAGAGCTCTAGAAAGATAGAAAGGAGAAGAGGAGAATGTAGTTAACAGGTAACTGTAGACTGAGCAGAAGAAATTCTGGAGGAATTGAGGTGTTAAGCAGGTTACCAAGATAAGGACCCGGGCCTATAGAATAAACAGTGATGCCATGCTTAAGTCAGTTTCCATTGTAGTGCGGAGAAGTCAAGGCCGAGTGTTTCAGAAAAAACCAGGAATTTCACCTTCGAGAGAGGAGGAATGCCGAATCTGGGAACTCACAAACCAGGATGCATTATTAAGTTAGCTTGTTTTATTCTGAACTCCCAACCTCAGAATTGATAGATTTCAGCATCTAACACTTGAAAGAAAATGTTGAACTTTTCCTTCTGGTGATTTTAAAAAATGAATTACGGTAGTCTATTTCTTGAGTCAATTTTGGTAAGCTACATTTTTCTAAGAATATGTCCATTTCGTCTAAGTTTTCAAACTTACTGGTGTCAAGTTATTTATAGTTTTTTAAGACCTAATATTGACCTAAGTCCAGGCATGGTGGCTCATGCCTGTAATCCAAGCATTTTGGGAGGCTGAGGCAGGCGGATCATGAGGTCAAGAGATCAAGACCATCCTGACCAGCATGGTGAAACCTCGTCTCTTATGAAAATACAAAAATTAGGTGGGCGTGGTGGTGCACACCTGTAGTCCCAGCTACTCGGGAGGCTGAGACAGGAGAATCACTTGAACCTAGGAGGCGGAGGTTGCAGTGAGCTGAGATTACACCACTGCACTTCAGCCTGACAACAGAGTGAAACTTAGTCTCAAAAGAAAAAAATACACACACACCCCCTCCCCCATATTGATTGTACACTTAATCTCCTTTGCCCGGATCAACCTTGCCAAAGATTTGCCAGTTTTATTCTTTTTCAGAGATCTGCAAACGAGGGTCTGTGGACCCAGTCTCACTTATCTCCTGTTTTTATAAATAAACTTTTATTGGCACACAGCTGGGCCTATTTGTTTATGTACTGTTTGTGGCTGATTCTGAGCTACAGTGGTGAGTTGAGTAGCTGCACCACAGGCTGTTTGGCCCATAAAGCCTAAAATATTTACTCTCTGGCCTTTTACAAAAAAAGCTTGCCAACCCCCGATCTTTTTGAAGAAGGCACTTGGGCTTAGTTGATATTCTTGCTTGTGCTGTGTATATATTTGTCTCCTTTCTTACAGTTATTTTATTATTCTTTTCTAACTTTATTTGGGTGCTTAGTTCATTAATTTTTAGTCATTCTTTTTCTAATATGAGCAATTAAAGTATAAGTTCTCACTAAGTATTGATTCATTGTTATTCCCAGTTTTGATATGAGGTTATTATTTTTCAACTTTAATTATGTTTATTATTTATTTCCTGACCATCAGTTATTTAAAAGTGTTTCTTCATTTCCAAATATGAGTGATTTTTTTTCCCTTAGATATGTTTTCTAATGATTTCTGACTAAATTATATTGAGGGCAAGAGAACATGGTTTGTGTAATGCCAACCCTTTAAAATTTGTTGAGAGTTTAGTTATGGTTCAGTTTGTGGTCACTGTTTTTTTATGTTTGGAAATGATATCTTAAGCAGTTGTTGGTAGAGTGTTCTGTATGTGTCTGTTCTAACAAGCTTAATAACTGTTATTCAAAGCTTTTATATTCTTAACTATTTTGTCTACTTGCTCTATCAGTAAAAAGAGTTGTGTGCTAAAATTTTACTGTGATTGTAGTGTCATCTGTTTCTCTTTGTATTATGCAGTAATCTTATTAACCTTTAATAATGCATTTTACTTTAAAAAGCTATTTTTTAAATATTCGTATAAA